AAACACTTAATAAATGCTCACGACAGAAATGTAATTTGATCTTTTATTTAGAATCTTCAATTGGCCTATAGATGATTGTTCTTTATTCTAGTTCATTTCTTATGTTTCTAAAACAGAAAGGGATCACATGTGACGTTTTTCATTCATGTCCTCTGCTCCTTTGTTTACTGAAATGCGGCTTTTCATCACCTTGTGGGATGTTCACGTGGTCCTGGCAGTGCAAGCTGTTGACTGTCAGAAAGTTATGATCTGAGGCTACAAGTCAGAGTGCCCCAAGCAACGACGTCCGTGCTGGAACCTGGCCTACCTGTGGAGCCCTACAGGTCACGTGCCCCGAGCAAGCCTGCCCGAGCTGGAGCCTGGCCTACCTGTGGAGCCCTACAGGTCATGTGCCCCGAGCAACCATGTCCATGCCAGAGCCTGGCCTACCTGTGGAGCCCTACAGGTCACATGCCCCGAGCAATGACGTCCGTGCTGGAGCCTGGCCTACCTGTGGGGCCCTACAGGTCACATGCCCCGAGCAACCATGTCCATGCCGGAGCCTGGCCTACCTGTGGAGCCCTGGTGTTTGACTGACAGACCCATGGAAAAGGCGTGTTTGGGGGAATCTTCTGGTTTTCAGATTTTGTGGCTTTTACGGAACGTCCAGCTGCTCATTCTTCCAGTAAAGAGCTAAAAGTCCTTCCCAAAGCCTTTCGCCATAGAGTGCGTCTTATTTGAACTCTGCGGGGAGGCTGGCGGCAGGGCCTCCTTGCCAGCCATCTGGGAAGGGAGGAGAGGAGGGCAAGGGGCCTGTCAGAGGCACGTGGGCCTGGAAAGGCTGGTCCCCGAGCAGCACGTCTGCTGAGACATCCTGAGCCAGCCGGTGGCCAGACGGGCTCTCCCACCTGGGGTGCAACGAGCTTGGCAGCCATCGGCAGGGCCTACCAAGTGGCATCTGTGTGGCCCGACACGCCTGCACGTGCCCTGTGGTATTTTATGATTTCAAATAATCTTTATTGGCCAAAACATTTTGTGAATAGCCCAGCTGACATCCATTTTCAGTTTCTTTTCTTTTAAATTCTCTACTTTTTCAAATTAAAGTTTTAACGTATGTTCAACATCTCGTCATGCAAACGTGCATCTCAGTTACACAGTCACTCAACAGTACCAGGCGCTGGACCAGAAGGTTGAGGCTTCCCCAGGCTCGTACACCTGAAAATATGTTCTTCCCGAAAAGGTAAAATGAAGTAAAACACTGTCTTTTATTGTAGAAGGTTAAAATTGGAAGGATTAAATACATAGTCATATTTGTTCAAACAGAGGAAGGTCAGCAAAGAAGTAAACTTTTAAAACAGCAACAAAAAAACATAGTATTGAAAAATAGTTACCCTGCCTCTAATATTCAAGGTACCGCAATGTAGAGATAATTTTTCTCCTATACGTTGGCAAGTACCTATCTTGGAAATGGAATTACTATGCACCCTTGGGAGACGAATTGCTATAGAAATATAAATAAAAAAAAATTGTCTGTGGCTGTTTCCTCTGCCGTGCTATAGATTTTCCCTTTGTCTTAATGACTTCTAGAATCAGTTGTATCATATGTCGAGAAAATTTCTGACCCAGAGAAAAATCATTATAATCTAATTTTATATTATTTTCCTTCACAATATCAATAATATTCCCTCCCTGGAAAAATTGGGTGAGAGGCGTATTTGGGCAAGTAAAGCAATCCGATAAATCATTTCACAGATGAGAAAGACGCCATGTGTGAAATGAAAGTTAGATGTTTTCAAAACCACTTCATTTAAGGAGAGGACACTAATCAATATGCAGTGCTTTCCAAAGTGAGAGAAACGGGGGATGAGGGAACATTGATGCATGTGGGAATGTTTATCCTGTTCTTATTTGAGTTGGCTGGCGAGTAGATTAAAAGGCTCTATTCAGCTGAATCACCAGCTGCCTTTAAAGGTTGAGTGAAAAAGCAGGTAAACTCGGTAACCCCAAACCAGCAAGCATCCTCCGGGAACATCGTCCTGTCTATGTCTAAAACAGATGGTCTTTATCGAGTCTATCCTTGATGGGCATTTGCGTTGGTCAAGTCTTTGCCAAATACCTAATGTAGGTGATGAGGGGATGGATGCAGCAAACCGCCATGCATGGCATGTGTGTACTTATGTAACAATCTTGCAAGATCTGCATATGTACCCCAGAACTTAAAATTAAAAAATCCAAAAATTAAAAAAAAACAGATGGTCTAATATGTATTTTTAAATTCTCAATACATCTTTCATGCATATATCCAATATTTAATTTATTATGTGAATATTATACATTTGTATTTAAACAAGGTGAAACAATCTAATAATAACACCAACTTTTATCTTTTGAGCCTGCATAAAGTAACATGTTTAAATAAATCTTATTCTTCAAAGTACTCACTTTGGAATGTTTTCAAAAATAACTCTTTGGAATTATTTTCAGGAGCTAGTTTTAGAAAGAAAATCGTAAAAGAAAGTCAATCTGTCAAAATAACCTCTCTCCCTATACGTATAACACAGGCACACATATACACACATATACATGTATCAGTGAAGGATAGCTATTGAACGTGTTAGTATATTAATTTCCAAGTATTTACATATAAAAGTAAGAAGTATTTAAGTAGAAAAATTTTGAAATCCGCTTGACTTATTGACAGGAAGCTTTGGATCAAAGTTGAAATTTAGCTCTCACAATTATCTAGACACTTATGTCCTATACATTTTGATAGTTTTCCTCCATAATTTTGTTTTCCCACACAGGGATTTTTCATTTATTTATAATCTTATTAAATAGACTATATTGTATGTCATCTAAATTTTATTTAGTAAATGAAGATTTAAATATTTAATATACAATACTTAGGGTAAAATGCGAAACAGGAGAGGTTAATGATTAATCTGTACATGCATTTCCTCACAGGGTACCTTGTAACCCTACAGTGCTACATATCTCCCTTAGTGCCTTTCATTTCTTTATTCACTGGATTCTCAGACTCTCCCATAACTCGGACAGTCCCCTGCATCACTTAGAGGAAATTCTGACTCAAAACTAGGCAAAGATCCAGTAGAAACTCTGAATAGAATCTTTTTTTCTGTGTGATTTATTTGGTGTGTGCATTTTTGGAATACAAAATATACATGGTAAAAATTGCATCCATATAAATTAAAATTTTAGTCTGAGCTCAGAGCTGTTTCTTATCTCTGTAAAATCTGTTTTATTTTCATTCTCACTATAAAGACAGCCCTAAAGCAATAAAGTCGTTTTCTACGAGGTAATCATTGTTTGAAAGCATTTCTGAAGACCGTCCAAGTGCTTAATTGTTTACTTGCTCCTACGAGACAGTAAACAAATCCTGGAAAAGAAGTGAGTAACGATCTCGTGGAGTGTTGTTTTTCAATGCAATAATTGTAAATCTCATGACTTCCCTGATTCTAATTTTTTCTGTTCACATCAGCGCAGAGCATGTGAGAACTGGCCCACGACTCACGGTGGGGCAGGGGTGAGCAGAGCAGGCCGAATCAGAGGACAACAGGAAGCTATACCCACCGCCCAAAGCCGCCCGGTGCCTGTGCCTCGGAGCTGTGTTGTCAGGCCTGTGGGTTTCTCTCGGGCAGGCCCTGGGCACCGCCCTCCCTCGCACACCAAGCCCTGCGAGACGCCAGACAGCCAGGACCTGCTGCCTTTCTCCCCAAGCCCATGGCTCAGCGTTGAAGCAAGCTCCGCCGCATAAAAAGCACACCGAGAACCCACAGCTTTCTTTGAAAAATAATCTTTAAGCTTGTGTGACTAAATTATCCACGGCTACAACTTCTTTTGAATACCGCAGAGGCTGAGAGTCAGCAAAGAGAACAAGCACAAGGGCTTACAGTGGGGACGGGACGGAACGCAGTTTGAATGCAGTTCCTTCTCTTCCATCCACAGACACTGCGACGCAATATTCTCCACAAGGCACAGGGATGGTACTGATTGTATACAGAGGTGTGATTCTGCAATTTGTAATTCTGCGAAGTGCAATCTCCTGGAATTCCTGTTCACCTTAGCACTGAAACAAACCAAGACCTATTCATGGGTCTCACACAGTCCTGCCTGCACTTCTCTTTGCTTCTCTCCTGTTGTGTCTGCTGTTGCTGATGTGATTTGTTATGAACATAACTGTGTTCTATTTCCCCACAGAGCTGTCCCTTAAATTCCTAAGATACTGCACAGCACTCCAGACCCTCTGGTATTCAGAACACCTCACTCCCTATCACTGTGTTATTTTATGGCTCCTCTCCTTAGCCACTGTGTGCCACGGGAGAGCTTTTATTGCTTGCTGTGTTTTATGGGTTTCTCCAGGCCATGTATATTCATCGTGTTATAGAAATAATAACATATTTGGCAGTAAAACATTAGGCAGTGATATTTAGGTTGGATGGTAAATTTTCAAAGAGGTGGGTATGGTTTTCCATGAGAACGACAGGACATTGCGACGCCGAGTGTTCAGAGGTCTAAGATGGTTAGTGCACCTGTGTTAATGACGGACCTGCTCAGGGGCAGTGAGTCATGTTTGCAGATCTGCCTACTGAACAAGAGACCGGCCTGACGTGGCTACGGGAAGCCTGGGAGTGACCGCCGCTCATCAGCCAAAATCTCCGTGCAACCCATTAAGCTTTGCTGTTTAAAACTTGATCACCTTCCAAACGTTAGCACTTCTATTTTTTTTTTCTAATCTATAAAACTTTCTAAAAGTTATACTTGATCATTTTCAGGAAGCTTGATAATTAGTAGATTTCACTCTAAGAAAAGGAAAGGTTATTTCTAAGAGACAAAGCACGCTTGCGAATGCAACAGTGTGACAAATGCAATCAAGGAACGTTACTTATGTCAGCAGAGCACACCGTACCTGTGGTGCCACGGGCACCCGCTCCTTCTAGGATAAAGGGAGGTGCAGCTGCAGAGTCCCTGCGGGAAGGCTGAAAGTGGCGTTCTCTTCTTACCTGCTGTTGACCTGATGGTGGAGGTGATGTCGGACGGTGTCATCATGGGGATACATTCGTCATCTTGGGAGTAGCCGGCTTGAATGGCTCGAAGGTAGCTGTGACTCCTTGTTCGGAAACATCCTGGGAGGTCTAGGGCGTCCATGGCCTGAGATTCGACTTCGCTGAAGACGGACTCGCATACGGATTCGAACTGCCCGTTGACCTCCGCCTCGCTCACCTGCAATCATCAACAGCACACGTGATGCCCGGCCCTGCAGGGTCACTACTGCCGCGTTGGAGAGAGCCAGGAGGGTGCACTCACTGCATGGCACCCCTTCACGGCCTCGTATTTCAGCAGAGCTAACTTGAAATCAGCGTGGACACTGGCTGAGCTTGGGAAATGGATCATTGGGTTATTCCTTACAAAACACTTAGGCAAACAGCCAATTCCAAGTGTTGATGAAGTTCTGGGGACCCACCGGGTGAACCTTCAAGGTATGGCTGACAGTTATTACAACGTTTAAGAGAGGCAGAACTTGTAAAAGATTAGCAAAGTAGCTGGTACAAATAAGTGTTCAGAATCGATTTCTTCCTTCTCTCTCCCCACATGCCGGTCTCACCTTTCAAGGTACTCCAGGTGCTGAGGCCGTGTCAGGGAAAGCACATGAAGTGCATACATTCCTCAGTTCTTTTTCAGAACGGGGCGCCTGCTCCTACCCATTGCCACAGCAACCAATCACAAATCTGGCTTCTGAACCCAGCTCCTTCTCACCATTACTGCAGCACACATCTGAGACCAGGCGAGAAAGAAATGGCTGTACTGGTGCTTTTGTCCACATGAAATGTGTTGCGTTACCTAAATTCCAGCCTTTTCTTTCTTCTTCTTTAGGTTAGGATATTAGTATACTCACTTCATGGGATAGTTTAGCAGATAAAGCACTTATTATCCAGCCTATGCTTCATTTCCAGGTATGGAGTCACCCTGGGGCCCTAAATGTTTCAACTGCATTTGAAGAAAACTCATCCTGGCTTGAGTGGTGGGGATCTCAGTGGATGTGCCCACGCTGGCGTGGCTGCCGGGTGAGTCACCACCGTGGCTTATGGTGGTTGACCAGGAGGCAATGCGTGGCCCGTGGGTCTCCTGGTGGCCGTTCTGTTGCATTCCCATGAGCCAAATCTAGATATTTTGGTTTTGTTTGTTTGTTTGTTTTGAGATGGAGTCTTGCCTTGTTGCCCAGGCTGGAGTGCAGGGGCGTGATCTCAGCTCACTGCTACCTCCATCTCCCAGGTTCAAGCAATTCTCCCGCCTCAGCCTCCTGAGTAGCTGCGATTACAGGAGCCCGTAATTAGCCACCACGCCTGGCTAATAACCATGCCTGGCTAATTTTTGTATTTTTGGTAGAGACAGGCTTTCGCCATATTGGCCAGGCTGGTCTTGAACCCGGGCCTCAGGTAATCCACCCGCCTCGGCCTCCCGAAGTGCTGGGATTTCAAGCATGAGCCACTGCACCTGGCCCAAATGGGGAGGTTTTAAATGGAAACCCAACAAAGTAGAATATTGGACTGAAACGGTGTTGCAGAGACCAGGTGGAAGGAATGAGGATTTTCAGAATGGAAAGCTGAACACAGGCTGATTACACAGTCCTCAGAGACAGAGGCCATGGCACAGCACGGAGGGAAACCAGGTGACTGGGACCGTGACCATTGACCCCTCTCCTCCAGTTCTCATCATAGCCTGTGGGTCTCCCCCAGGGCACATCTCACACCTGTCAACATGCATGTGCAATTGGGATGCTTGTTCGTGACACCTGTGAACAAGGGCCAGCCTCTCCGGAAGCATCAGGTCTTGGGGAAGGGGCAGGAGCAGCCCCCACGGTGCAGACACAGCCTCCTTCCACCTGTGGGTCATCTCCTCATCCCACCCCTCCTGCTGCAGATACCTTGGCTGGAAACCCGGGAATCCGCCTGGACCTCCCGCAGGTCCCAGGCATCTGTATTCACCCTTCAAGCCCACCTGCTGCTCTTGGGCCTCAGTTTCTCCTTTGTGCTTTGGCCTTCTTCTCTCCCTGTCCTCCATCCCGCCACATCCTCACAGCTGCCTATGACTGTGTATCTCTCTCTCAGTCTAGCACCGTTCCACAGTTTGATGTTTTCACTAGCACAGTGTTGCAGCTGAGCACAGATTCCTCAGCACGGCCCTCTGGGGTCCAGCCACCGATCCCCACCAGACAGATTCTGCACCCCTTTCCCGAACGGGAGCCACACACTCAAGTGGCAGAAAGTCACGCCATCCCCCAAACCACCCTCCGTCTCTTTTGCTTCTGAGGATGAACAGCTGATCCCTCTCTCTGCCATAATCTCTCCGCACTTCCATCCCCTTTGCTCTCCACAGCTGCAGACCTCAGCTGGGCGGTCACGTTCTCCAGGATGGTCCCCATATGCGGCTGGGGAGATGCTGGGTTCCCACCATGCTGGACACATTCACATCAGGGACCTAGCTACAAGCTGTCAGCACTCACTCACTTATCTGACTTTGCTCAGTTTTCCTTAGAAACCAGGTGCGATTTTGCTTCCTCCCTCCCTCCTCTCTGTTTCTCTGTGTGCCTTTCCCTCCCTCCTTCCCTCCCTCCTTCCCTCCCTCCTTCCCTCCCTCCTTCCCTCCCTCCTTCCCTCCCTTCCTTCCTTTTCCCCTCTCTCTTTCTCCCCTCACCACTCCCATTCAGATTATCTCTCTTCTTGGTTCTCCCAGGGATGTGTGAGAGCCCAAAGCACCAACAACTTCCTGAAACCCCTGGATTATGTTGGCAGATACATTTTAAAAATACACCGTTTTAACACCGGATGAGTCTTTTCCTCTAGTTGTCAGCAGAGTAAAAGGCAAGGTCAAAGAATCAGGTTCTCCGTCTCACAACCGTTGTGGTCTCCAAGTTCAGACCCGTGGACCTCTCTGGTTTTGCCCTAAGGTTACCTATGTGCTGGAAGGATGGCCCCTCTCCTCAAAGAGTCTGAGTGAGCCTAACTCAGCACTGGCCCTGGAGAGACGGAGGGTGAGCGAAGGGCAGTGGAGCCTGAGGCCACCTGCAGGGAGACAGACCAACACTGGGCTGGAGAAAGAGTTGGCACAACACTGGCGGAATGGCCTTTTCCGGAAAGGTCTGAGGATTCCTGACACTGGACAGAGACAGACAAACTCAGGGACGCACAGCCAGGACACAGCTAGTGAGGCGGCCTCAGGAACCCAGCAAAGTGCTTGGAAACACGCAGACTGGCTTGGAAATAGGACATTTTCCTGGACCATGAATTTCTTCCAATCTAAGTTTTCACTGAAGTAGAATTTTACAGAAAAGCCTTAGATTGCGTCATTCATGTCAAAGATCTACTGTAGACAGTGTGAGGTCAGATCTGTGTAAGGCCCGCGTACGCCTCAGTGGACACCCTTCTGCAAGCCCGGCCCTGCTGCCCTCGCTCCTGAAGAAGAGAACCCATTAACCTGGTGTGTGCATTTCAAAAACAGAAGCCAACATCTCAGCAGGACCTTGGCTATGCTTCCAGCTACAAAGGCTTGTCAATGAGGTTCTAGACATGAAGGGAACCCCTCCTCCCCCAAACAAATAAAGAGCGAGGAGCATCTGAAGTTGGTCCAGCAGGGAATTAAAATGATCGTTCACTCAGGCCTCCCAAAACTCTCGGGACACACAGACTTCCTGCCGAGACTCTGGAGGTGGTGGGGAGGGGCGGACACCTGAACCTCCTGGCTGAGACTCTCATGACACCCAGATCTCCCACTAGACTCTCTGGAGGTTGGGGGGACAGACACTCAGACCTCCTGGCCGAGACTCTGGGAGACACACGGACCTCCCGCCGAGACTCTGGGGGACACACGGACCTCCCGCCGAGACTCTGGGGGACAC